GTACTGTTTATGAGTGATAAATTTAAATTTTTATTAGAGAGAAAATTTAAAAGTAATTATTGAAGATAGAAAAAAGCGAATAAAAAGAAAGTTTTTGAGAAGCTTAAATTTGAAACTTTTGATCTTTTACTGTTTTAGTAGCTTTTTAAGGGTAAAAAAAATTTAAAAATGTAAATTTTTAAAAGAAAAATTTAAAGTGATGAAACATGAACAGTGTCCTGGAAGCTTCAGTTTTAACAAGCTGCACCAAACAATGCCTTAGTAGGTTTAAATTTTTTAATAAAATAAAAATATAATAATTAATTAATAAAATTTCATATTTATCCTTAATTAATTATTACTTAAATAAACTTTTTTATTTAACATAAGTTGTAATTAATTTTTTAAAATAATAATAAAATAAGAATAATTGCATTAAATGACATTTTAAAAGGTAAAGTGAATAATTAAATACAAAAACTCCAAATTATAAATTAAGTTTACTAAATTTGAATGAAAAAAATACGGCAAAAGATGCAATTACCCCCTAAAATTGTTACACTGAAGCAAATCCCCACTTAAAAAAATGTCAACTTAATTTGCCATATCAAATTTTTTATTTTTAAGAAATTAGTTTAAGTTTAACAATTATCATTAATTTTCTATTAGAGTTGAAAGGTAATTGTTTAACAAAGTTTAACGAAAATCATTAAATTTAGACTGATTTCCTAAAAATAGAAATCTTGGATGGCAAATTAAGTAATGATTTATTTTAATGCAACAATTTTAAGAAATAAATTGCACATTTGACAAGAAAGTACTTGATAGATGATTTATATATGTTAAATTACTTAGTTTAAATAGAATTACCTATTTAGTTTAATGATTATGATTTAAAAGAGTTTTTTATTAAATTTTTTAGTGTTTAAAAGTCATATTGAATCTTAATTAATTTAAAATTGAATCATATTAGACCTCGTAAAAAAAAAATCTCTCATCTTTTATTTTTTTCATTTATAAAACTTCAATTTTAAATATTATTTAAAAAAAATTAAACTGTTTCTATTCAGACTAATAAACCATCTATATAATTGAAAAGAGTTTTCTTTTCGCTTTATTGTTAAAGATTCTGCCTGGTGAAGTTAGAAGTAAAATTCTGCCACTTTGGACTTTAAACAAAATTCTGCTCTTAAACGAGAAGACGTTGTTACTACTTACGAGGCAAATTAAGTTAAAGAGCGATCCAAAATCACCTGACTACAAAATAAATAAAAATAGTAATTAAGAAAGAATAAAATCATGGTAAACAATCGTGCCAACATTCTTGTCCAAATTCTCTCTTTTTTTTTTGAAGTCCATTCTTCTGCAACTCTTGATCGATATATTCTTGAAGTCACTAATTTACTCCATTCCAAAAGGTATAATTAAAACAAAGAAATGCCATTAACCTATTTTAATTTTTACAAGCTCTTTTCCTTGTTTTTTCTTTTGACCCAAAAGAGAGCACCCGACCATGTGAACAAACCAAATTGTGTGGCTTCTTCATCCTGAAAATTTACAATAAGATTGGGTGGCCTCTTTGCATATATTCCAATCAATAGATTCCTTCAACACCTATTGCGTTTTTAATCCTGCTGTAATACCCGAAACAATTTTACAATTGAAATGTACCCGCCTCTTTTATTTAATAAATGTTAACTACACTTTTTTTAATATATTAAAATATATTACATGGTTCAATGAAGAAGATTAATAGAAATAACTATTACTTCAAACAAGTTAATATATTGTTGGAGGATAAGTGAGGACATAGCTGCCATCTCTTGACAAGTTCTGTATAAGGGAAGAAGGGGGACATAATACATATATGCCCATAAAACAGAGCATGTCCAACACAAAATACAAATGTAATACTCACTACAAGGAAGTTTCTCGAATAAAGTTTATAATATGATCATATCAGGACAGATAATATGCCTGATGGAATTCTATTGTAGAAAGTCTAGAAAGTAACTCCTTGGAACGTATCAAAAGGAAAATTTGTGCTGGATTTCTTCCTTCTAGTTTCCCTTTATAGGGGAAAAGGAATAGAACTTCTCTCAAGTAATGATTCCTCATGCGACTTTCATTATTGTTTCTAAAAGTTGGAAAATGCCATTTGCTTTGCTAAAGGGAATCATCATTTAGAAACTTACTAAAATCTGTATGGTTAATAAGACTTAACTTTCTACATAAAAAATTAGGACAGAAAAATTGGTGAACGTTCCTGCCCTTCGTTTAAGCTTAGGCCAAAACCCAAACCATGCCAATTTCCTCGACTCTTCACATGGGAAGGTAATTATTCTGATAGCAACTAAAATAATTTAAGTCAAATTCTCTACCGACCAACAACTTTTTAAGTTAAAGTTCACGTAACTCTTAAAAAATTTAAATTTAAATTGTTAATAATTGTTAAGTGTGATAGTTATATGCACTGGCTCATGTGCTTATCTTCATTGTGACAAGTGTTAAAACAAATGTTTCTATCGTTAACTGAATCTGCTTCATGCATCTTTCTTTTGTACAGAAATTTAAGAAAAGAAGACTGTGTTGGAGCAGTAAATTTTCATGTCATGAGATGTTGAATTGCACCCAACCAAAAACTTGCAAAATGGGTTGATAACAACACTTGAATTTTGAAGATGTTTATACGAAAAACTAATCCTGCAATTTTGAATTTGTGCTGAAAAAATGAATGCATTACTAATCAAATATGCAGAAGTTTGACAATTTCCAACAAATTTGATGACTTGTGGGGGATCTTATGTCGTTTCCATCGCACTCATACCAACCTCCCTCACTAGATTATTAGCAGAAATCCAAAATATCTCGTTTCTGTGTATTGTAACGAACCAGGGATAGTACAAATAATAGTATAATAATCCTTCTCCATTTCAGTTTATTTTCCATTGATCACTGAAATTCAGTTTACAGAAGTCAGAATTGACTTCCGTATTCTTCACCTAACAAGAAAGGAATAGAATGTAATCTTATCTGATGCAAACTCGTTTGAAAGAAAAACAAAAATATCGAAAACAAATGTTGATACAAGTAATCTTATCTCGCAAAACATCTCACATAATGAATTTATATATTAAAACTTATTTGCTTTTTTTTTTAAAAAAAAATTTTAATTTATAAGAAGAAAACATATTATAAACAAGTTGAAAATTACTCTGCAAAATGGCCCATACATGTGGCTCACGGATTACTGCGATAGATAAGAGACCGAATCATTTACCTACAAAAAGCTCGAAGTTTCGTACATGTGATTCACAACCCAATCGATCAACAAACCACATGATTAAAAAGAAAGAAAGGAAAAAAAAAAGGAAGAAAGAAAAGAAAATATCTGCTTCTCATTTTGGACTTGAGATAGACCAATTGCATTGCTTCTTATTGCCCTCTAGACTCCCAAAAGTGAACAATTTTGGTGCTGGTCGGTCGGTAGCTGCTAATGAATGTGCCAATGCAATTTCCTCGTTGAAACCATGCCGAAATCCTTTAAAACTCATTAAAAATATAGGGTACATAATCTTAATTTTATAAAATCAAGAAGATTAATAAAATATTAATTCTTCCTAACACTGTTTGGTCATCCGAGTTCATATTCAACTTGTTCTATTTTTTTTTGCGTGTGGTGGTGCAAAGGTGAGATGGAAAAGTCAATCGGTCAAACCCCAGTTTGAAAATTCACAATGGGGTCTTTAACTATTAGTCAATTATTAAAAAATTATAAAAATTAAACGTTTTAACACTTAAAATATTAAATTTTTTTAAAATTTATTTAAATATTTTTAATAAAATTTTAATGTTACCTTTAATAAATCTCTTGATTAGTTAAGTTTATTTAAAATTTTTCATTATAATTCTAAATATTATAATTCTAAATATTATAATTATTAAAATGTCTTTGATGTTTCATAGTCCAATTAATTAACTATTACTTAATCAACTTTCTTAGTTTAATCATCATTATAATGACCGCGTGCTCCTTTTTTCTCATTAATCCATGGTTTACTATATATATATCATCAGTCCAATCCAATCTCTTCAACACTCTCTATAAATTCTTTGCGTATCCTAGTTCCTAAGAAGCATTCCATCTCCTTTTTTCTGTCCTTTTTCCATAGTTATCCTAATTCTTGTCCTTCTTTGCTAATTCATTGTAAGATGACGGATATTTATGAACAGAGTGATTTAAGTTCTGGAAGTCATCAGCAGCAGCAGAGTGATGAAGACATCATGGATGTAAGGAAAGGCCCATGGACTGTTGAAGAAGATACTAAGCTCATGGAATATGTCACCTTGCACGGCGAGGGCCGCTGGAACTCTGTTGCTCGCTGCTCAGGTGATTATCACTACCTCTTTCCCTCAGTTCTCTGTTTTTCTTGTTATGGGATTTTCCGGTCACCTGACTTCAAGACAACGTGTCAGGTCTTAAAAGAACAGGGAAAAGCTGCAGGTTAAGATGGTTGAACTATCTCCGTCCTGATGTCCGACGAGGAAATATCACTCTCCAAGAGCAACTTCTAATCCTCGAACTCCATTCCCGGTGGGGAAACAGGTATAATTCTGAATACAGGGATTTAACCTAAAATCAATTAGCAATAGGCGCAGAGTCTGTGACATAGATTTTTGTATGTTTCTCTTTCTTGGCTAATTACCTGTTTGATTGATTTTAGGTGGTCGAAAATTGCGCAACATTTACCAGGAAGAACAGATAATGAAATAAAGAACTATTGGAGGACCAGAGTTCAGAAACAGGCGAAGCAACTCAAATGCGACGTCAACAGCAAACAGTTTCGGGACGCCATGCGGTACGTTTGGATGCCCCGTTTAATGGAGCGGATCCAGGCTTCTTCATCCAAATCTTCTCCGGGTCAATCGGCCGTGGAGGCATCGACCAACCCTGCTCGGATGAAGGAACCCGGATCGAGTCAGATGGATCCCAATTTCATGCCCGAATTATCCGGGACTTCGTCGGAGTCTCTTGATACCCCAATTTCATCCCAGTCGGACCTGACGGTGGAGTACGGCCGCAACCCACAACAGGGGATTGATTATGGGGACAATCTACGGAGTGGGTCGGGTTGGTTATCCCCGGAGGATTTGGTAGGTAATTGGAGTGTAGACGGGTTTGGTTTTCCGGCTGCGGCGGAGGAGGTGATGAGCGGCGATGATTGGTTGGGGGAATGGAATGTGGAGAATATTTGGTTGCAGCTTTGTGAATAGTGAGCTAATGACATTACGTGTCTGCTTACGTTACGTCTCAAGTTGCTTTAGACAATTTGTGATTCTAGAAATACTTGAATTATTGGATATATATTTTTGGAAAGGAAATTAGAGAGCTGTATAATTACAAGTAACTCCACAACTTTACAAATTAGATATAATTGAAATAATTTGAAATTAAATTTTACTTATTACTTTAGTTTAATTGTTAAGAAATAATTGAAAACGATTGTTTTTTACGAGCTAAACCAATCAAAATCTTAATAGAGAAAAATAAGAGTGGCAGATATTGCCAAGCCTTTTCTTTTTAATTAAAAATTGTGGGTATATGGTTTTGAATGGAATGAATCATTTTTTTTTTACCCACTAACTCAAAATCAATATCACTTAATCAAAGCATGAAGATTGAATGAATTGAACTATTTGAACATTATTAGTATTAAATGTTTCATCTCTAGTTAGTCTATGAGGCAATTTTTTTTTTTGAATGGTTCACATGGCACATAAGTTTTTAAAATTTTAAAATTTTCTGCCAAGCAAACAAATACTAATAAATAATCATTTGCATTTTCAACCAATCACTAATAAAAATGTTGAAATGTGAGTGTAAAACAAAGTGTAGTGCTGAAGACTAAGAAATTTGACCGCAAAAGGAAATGGTGTACATTTTTTATACATGATTTCTTGCTTGTTTTACACGTTAATTGCTTTTATGTTTAGAAAAAGAATTTTCACTAATTCTCTAACTTAGCATGCATTGCACCCAAAGGATCTGAACCAAAGAAGGATTTAAGTGAACAAATCAATTTCAGGACAACAGTATGTGTGGGGCAAAAGACTGAAACTTGACAACAAATTTATTGTGTATATGTTTGATATGTTTCTTGTTCTACACATTTTTTTTTTAAGAGACAAACCAAAGGAGATATGGTAGATAAATACCAAAAAAGAGAGGAAAAACTCAACAGGATGTCATATCAGTGATATTTAAAGTTTTAAGTTTCAAATTAAAAATTGAAAATAGTGTGTATCCGTCTTACCTCCTAATTATTAAGAAAAAAATTATTTCAAAACTACGTCATTTCAATAAATATTTATTGAAAAAGACTAAAAGGTTATTTTTAAAGCATAAATTAGAGTATTTTTTTATCCTTTCTTATAGTACTTTATTAAAACTATATAGTTTTGAAATAATTTTTTTTCTAATATTTAGGAAACAAAACGGATAAGCACTAATCCCTTAAAAATTTGTCAAAGATTATTTGTAACTTATCTTAATTAGTTTTATATCATGGAAATGATTTTTGTACAATTGACATGTTATTAAAATGATTCGTTGTTTTAATTCATGTGGTACCCATGATATTGAATACATCTACATTTAATGACATATGAAAGTTGTATAAAAAAAAAGTATAAAAATGTTATCCCTATAGCACCACCCTTTATATTATGCCACACGTTTAATGTTAGTTTATTAGATAATTACTAGTTTTAATTCTCAACTTTTTCTTTAAATATCAAATATTGTCTTTATTGTTAATTTAGACTAAAAATGGTCCCTAATTTTTTCCATATCACAAAACCTAATTCTATTGTTAGTTATTTCCATTAACTCTGTAATAAAAATCCTAGTTAGGATCCAAATCTCATAAAATATTTAGTCCGAACCTTTATAACTTTTAAGACTGATTCCTAAAACAAACGTTGTGTTAGTTTGAAGAAAAAATAAAACAAAAAAAATTAGAATTGGCAAAAAGCAAAGAATTTTAAAAAGGAAAAAACTCAGAAATTTGAGGTTTAGCAGGTTTTTACCTATTTTAAGGGTTCTCATATGTCTTATAAAAATTTAGTTGGGATTTCAAGGAGTAAGTAAAAGTAATTAAAGATAGGATTAAGTTTGATAATTTAGAAAAAGTTTAAGACCATTTTTGGTTTAAATAAAAGATTAAGATAATATCTAGTATGTATAATAAAAGTTAAAGATTGAATCTAACACTTACCCAAATTAATCTTTAAATTTGCTAACACATTAAATTTTTATTAGTTAAAAATATCACGAAATTAGAAGTTATGACATGGTACAACAATTGCAGAGACTATGGGTACATTTGGAATTGTTTGGAATTACTGTAACTGTAATTGTGATGGTAGTTGTGTTAAACTATATTGTATTGTAATTATACCTGTGAAAATTATTTTGGTATTTGATTATTTATTTCTTAAAATTATTATATATCTGATATAGTTTTCTGCAAGAATTAAAAAAAAATTTTAAAAAATTATCAAACACACAAATATTTAAAAATACTATAAAACTATATGAAAAACTCTCAAGTACAATTCTAGTACATCATGTATATCAAAAGAAGTAATTAAGCAAGGACGGAGCTACAATAGGACAAGGGGCCAGCCGCCCCCCTAAGGTTTTGAAAAATGTTTAATCTAATACATCAATTTTAATTAGTACAAAATTTGTTTTTGATGTTTGAATTACAAAGACCTTTTTGAATTTAAAGAAAATATTTAAAAGTTAGATAAAGGGACCATTAATTTCTTTCTTTATAATCAATTCTTAAGGTAAATAATTTTATTTGGATATGAAAAATGATTTTACATTAATTGTAATTTTTTATACAATTTATATTCTATCAATTCAACAATTAGATTTATTACTCTAATTGAAAATTTTTTAATATTTGTAGTCATATAAAAAAGTTGTATTTTATATGAGATTAATATTTATTTATTAGACTCGAAAAAAATAAAGTGAAAAATACTTTAAAATAGGATATTCTAATAAAGTATCACAAAAAATACTAATATATTCTTCATTCTTATCCTAAAACTATGCTAATTTAGTCTATTTATTTTAATTAAAGTTTATTTAAATAATATAGTTTTGAAATTTTTTTCATAATTTTTTCTCGATCCAACTTATTAACACTTTTTGTATTATTTTGTATTATTTGTTTAA